ATTTCAACTATGTTTTAAAATTTTTTGCTTTTAGAATTTCCCAATATATTCAAAACAGACTTTCCTGTTACATTTGAAATAAGCCAAATGGTGGAGGTGTTTATATATTTTAAACATATATATATATATTTAAATTGAGATTATATTTTAGTACTATTTTGTAGCATGCTTTTTCTCACTTCACCCTATATTGTATCTTACTTAACAATATATTGTATTTCAAAAGTATTTCTCTTATAATTCTCATATTTTTGTCAGATAATTTTTGATGGCTGCGTGCTATTTTTTCTTAAAGATAAGTGGACCAAGATTCCTTTACCATGTCCTTAGTGTTGCCTATTTATACTGTGTTCAATATTTTGCTCCTATAAATACCGCTGTGTATTATGCATACTTTCTTGGGAACAGTTCTGATATATCCATTGAATACTTGGATGTTCTAGATCAAAGTGAATGAATTTCTTTTAAGGCTCTTGTTATATTGCCAAAGTGCACTTCAGAAAAGTTGCACTAATTTATATCATCATTCACACTACATTATGGGAGTATACTTATCTCTGCATCCTCACCAAACTCACGTAAGTCTTTTTACTTTTTGCCAATTTCGCAGGTGAAAATATATTTTGTTTACATTTCTTTGCTTACTAGTGAAGTCATACATTCTTTCTCTGCTTTCCTTCCCTCTGTTCTTTCCTCCAACCTTCCCTCCCTTTCTCTCCCCGCTCCCTCCCTCTCCCTCTCTTTCTCCTGCTGTCTCTCTCTCCCACTCTTTCTTTTGCCATTTGTAGTTTTTCTGTCCGTGTCTCTTGCCAATTTTTTTTCTTGTGTTGGGGTCTTTTTTTTCCTGCTTATTTGTAAGAGCTCTTTATATATTAAGGTTATTGACCCTTGTCTGTCACATATCACATTTCCCCCTCAAATTTGTCATTTCTATTTTATTCTTATTTATGGTCATGTTGAAATAAATAAATTTAAAATGTTTGTGTAGTCAAAATTAGGAGTCTTTTTCTTTACAGCTTCTACCTACTTATGCTTAAAGAATTATTCCTTCCTCTAAGATTAAGTATTCACCTTAATGATGCCCAGCTTATTTTACCCCAGTGGTTAAATATTTCACATTTAACTGTTTAATTCATAGTTATGGGGTATTTATAATGATGTAGAGGAAGAGAAACAATTTTCCCTCTACCCTTCTAGTTTCTTGGCTGAGAACCCCTTATATTAAAAGACAGATTCACAGAAGAAAATAAACAATTTTAATTACATGCATGCACATACGGGAGCCCCCCAAAGATATGAGACCCAAAAGGTGGTCACACTATTGAGATTAGTAAACCATCCTGAGCTATGGAAGGGGATAGGGGCCTGTGGCTTCTAAGGGGTGGGGCAGAGGCAACTCACAGGAAGGTGAGAAGAGAAGATGTTTAGTATACCAAATTTGCCCTGTCTCCTGCAGATAAGTCTCTAAGATGAAAAAGGGATCTCTGGTAATAACTCTCTTCCTGGTACAGGCCATCTTTCTAATGTAAATTTCCTTTACAAAAGGGTCACTTCTACTCTGTCTTCAGAGCCCCTTCTGTGCCTGCAGTGTCTTAAAATAATTAGCTCAAAATAATCCTTATGCCAAAGTGGCATATTTGGGGGTGGTATACTCTGCTACCCTCAATAACATATAGTGCAAGATACTGATTCACTCTTTTTTTCCCCTCACATTTAACCAATTCTACCAGCTCTCCTTACTTACTTGGATTTCACAACCTTTTTACTAAAGTGGAAGCTTCTTCCCAGTATTCTAAAGGTTTTATTGTGAATGGGATTTTCTTTTAACATTGTATTTTCTAACTTGTTATTGCTGGCATACAGAATACCATAAATCCTGTACATTTATTTTACAACCACCTAACTGAATTATCCTAGTAGTTCTTAGAGTTTATCTCTTGCATTCCTAAGTAGAAGGAGACTGTGATGACATATTTCCTTTATTTTTCTTGCTCTGCTATGCATATAGCTATGGATACTTATACAAAATTGGGATCATACAAAACAGAAAATTTTCATATATATCTCCATTTAAAATAGTGTGAGTGTTTCCTCATTGACACCCTATTACTTTAAGAGAAACCTAAGTTTAATATTTGCATAAAATTCCACTGTATGAGATACACTATAATTTAAAAAGTTTTAGTTTCTTTAAATTTATTTCTTAATTTAACTCTTGATTTTGAAATGATTCCAGATTTGCAAAAATTTGCAAAATAGTCCAAAGAATTCTCATATAGCCTTCATCCAGCTTCCTTAAATGTTAACATCTTATATAATCATAGTACAAATATCAAAACCAGAAAATTAAAATGATGCAATATTATTAAACCAAGGTCTACAGATTGTTAAAAACCAAACTGATAAAAACAATTTTATTAATTGTTCCACTAACATATATATATATATATATATTTTGCTCCAGCATCCAATCTGGAGCGCACATGGCATGTAGTTGTCATGTCTCCTTTGTCTTTTATGAATTGGGACAGTTCTTAGGCTTTACTTTTACTGATTCTGAAAATTTTGAAGAGAACTGGCCAATTATTTTGTGGAACATTACTCAATTTTGTTGTCTGAGGTTTCCTTGGTGAAATTCAGATTTTGCATTTTTGGCAAGAACACCACAGAAGTGGTGCTGCGCCCTTCTTAGGGCACCATGTCAAGAGGTGCCTGATGTTATGTCCCAATACCAATGATGGTAATGCTGATCATCATTGTTTGCCAGGTTTCTTCATTGTGGAGTTACTATTTTTCCCTCAGTAATTATAAATATCTTATGGTAATATATTTTGAGACTATGTAAATATCCTGTTTCTCATCATACTTTTACCCACTAATTTTAGCATCTGCTGATGATTTTTCTTGAAGTAATTATTACTGTGGTGTTTGCCAAATGGTAATTTGCTATGTTCATCATCCCTTCTAGTTATGAATTGAAAGAGCTTTCCTTTCCCTCTCATTTATTTATTCAATCGTGTATTTATCTCAGTGCGGACTCATGGATATTTATTTTATACTTTGGGTTATACTCTGATACGACTTTATTTTGTTGCTCAAGTCATTTCAACTTTAGCCATTAAGTGCTCTTTCAGGTTGCCTCCTGAATCCCGTTGGCACGTCCCCATCCTTTTATCCTTTGAGCATTTCCTACTTTCTGCTACTACAAGGTGCTCTAGGCTCATCTTGTACATTTGCTGCCCCAGTCCATTTCTCCAAAGATAATAGTACTTAGAAATCAAGATCTAGGCACTAGGTGTGCTCATTGCCTCTCAATGGCTAGAGCTAGGAAGTATATGTGTGTATCTATACACACATATATGCATTCAGATGTATATTGTATTGCTTGCTAAGGAAATATCTTTATAATCATACTGTATTAAGAATACTTATTAGGGGGTACCTGGCTGGCTCAGTTGGTGGAGAGTGCCAACTCTTGATGTCGGGGTCATGAGTTTGAGCCCCACGTTGAGTGAGGAGATTACTTAAAAAATAACATCTTTAAAAGAAAAAAGAAAAGTTATTAGGCACTCCTGTATGTGGATTTTAGAAGTTGCCTTCCCGACACCTATCAAGATGGTCATATAGCTTTTATTCTGATGTGAATACTATTCATAGGTTTTTTCTAATAATCAAACACCTATGTATGCCTACAAAAAAACGTGCCCAGTCATAGTGAACTAGTATGTATTATTCTTCAGGAATTGCTTTGCTAATATTTCATTTAGAATTTATGCTTCTATATTCACAAATTAGATAGGGTTTTTAGTTCTCAGTTTTGTGCTTTTTCAGGTTTGGATATCAGAGTTGAGGTGGCTGTATTAGTTTCCTGAGGCTGCTGTATTAAGTAATCCCAACCTGGGTGCTTGAAACAACAGGAATGTATTCTTTTGCAGTTCAGAAGACCAGAAGTCTGAAATGAAGGCATAGGTATGGTTGGTTCCTTCTGGCGGCTCTGAGGGAGAATCTGTTCCCTGCCTCTCTCCTGGCTTCTCGTGCTTGTTATTTCTTGACTTGTAGCTGCATCACTCCAAGCTCTGCCCCCGTCTTCACATGGCCTTCTCCTGTGTATCTCTCTGTGTCCTCTCCTCTCCTCATAAGGACACTAGTCATTGGATTTAGGACTTATCCTAAATCCAGAATGATTCCATCTTGAGATCCTTAACTAATTACAACTGCAAAAACTCTACTTCCAAATAAGATCACAGACTGAGGTTCCAGGTGGACTTAAGTGGGGGGGGGGGGCATTATTTAACCCACTAGAGTGGCTCAGTCAAATTAAGTGGATAAAACTTTTATTTTATTTTATTTTATTTTATTTTATCGTTTACAGTTTAGAACCAGAGTTTCCTTTCAGTCATGGTAACCTCAAACCTGAGTGTGAGGTCTTTACATACTACATTTCTGACTTTAAATCATTGTTGCTTGGGTACCATATTCTAGTTTTTGGTATTCCTTTATTGTTTAGGCTGCTGAGTACCTCAACCATCTTTATGGTTTTTCCCTTGGCTAATTGTGTTTTGTCATATATAAATCTATAAATCACATGTAATCATATAATTCAAAAGTGATTATATGTTCATCTATGCAGCAGGGTATGTTTGTGATATAGATAGATACGGTTATAAATATTGGCATCTGGCAATAAGCTGACATCTGGTGTGTAGTACTAACTTTTTATTAATTGATTTATGTTCATAATTGGCTTATGCATACTACATAAATATCACTCTCATTTTTGTTTAAAAAATTAACCTTACATTTGTGATGGCTTTAATAGGGATTAAACTGCTCTAATCAGCTCTCATCATTTTAAAGAGCTGTTATTTTCACTATATGCCACAGAAAGGCACCTCAACTTTCAGTCCTGATACTGTCCCCAGAGGGGCCATTCGAACTTGTAAGATGAGTTGCATTTCAGTGGGCATATAAGTCTTCTGCCAGACCTAGGGAATAACCTGATGAATGCCAAGAAGATCAAAGAGTGGGAGTTTGGCAAGCTCTGCAAGGAGCATGTGTGACAGAGGAGGAAATGGGAGGGGTAGTCAGTGGATCAAGGCCAACTTGGGGGGTGGCCATTCTGTGAAGGGTTTGCAGGAGGGGAGTATAAGCCCCTGCCCTCTCTTGCAGAGACCAATTGAATGTTCTAAATCTTTTCTGCCTTTGGGGTGGTCTACATCCAGCCTTGTTAGCAGTGCTGGTGACACTTCCCCCTCACCCCAGAAGGTTATGTCCCAGTTTATAGCCTTGAGCTCAGGAGACTATAGGAGACAACAAGGAAATGTAGGAGAGAAACCTATGACTCCTGGAGGCTCATCTGGCTGGAATGGGAATTTAATTCAACCCACCTTAAATCCTTCCAAACAGAAGAGAACCAGTCAAGATGGAGAAACTGAGTCATGTACCTTCTTTGACCATGCCTGCTCCACTTTTTAAAAGAAATACATGGCACATGCTCAATGTATGTTTAGCGAGTACCTCCACAGTACCTAGCACTTGCTATAGTGAGTAGCTATTACGAGGCTAATTTTATAGATGAGGAAGTGGAGGCCCAGAAAGGTTAACAAACGACTTGCCCCAAGTCATACAGTTCGGAAATCCTAGCGCTGGGATTCCAGCCTGACTTTATCAGGCTCAGAGCCCATGCTTTCCCCAGCGTCCTATGCTAGAGGGAGATGGTTTAGCCAGTATGGAATACAGAGACTCTTTAAAGGCTGTCTACCCCGGGAACACATTAAGCTGCTTATTTGGCTGTGCTATTTTGCTAATTAATTTGGTACTTGCTTAAAACCAATACAAAATGATTGTGGTGAAATTTTAGAGTTTCCAGAGGAGAGATTGTTTACATTTGGCGCCAGCGAGGGAGAGGAAAAGAGATGGAGGAGAAAGCAGGCAGAGGCCTTCACTGTATTGCCACGTGCCTGGTTTTCAAATTAGACATTCCAAAGTCTTCCATCAGGGCGGTTTGGTGTATCCGTCTAGGCAGTTTTCCACTGCTTGGAAAAGACACAAAAGCTTTTGTTCATCATGAAAGAATTTTCTCGTTCCCATCTACAGTAATTGCCAAGAATGAAATCTGTTACAGTCATTCCAGAGAAGAATGATTGCCTTTCTTTGCCTAACGCCACGTAGTCGATGCAGGGCCAGCTTGAGCCGTTGCAGAGTCCCCAGCTGCCGGTGGGGGGCAGCGACGCTGTGGCTTAAGAGTTTCCTTTTAGCTCAGTTCTGTCTGGGGATGGTCCAGGGTGCTCCAGCCACCATAAAGAACTGTGTGCTTTTGGACAGGGCCATACACCTCCCGTGCTTTTCAGATGTGAAATCCGAAATCCACATAGAAGGGATTTGCTCTGTGTCCGGCACACCGCCAGTTAGTGGTAGAACTGGGACTTGAACCCAGATCTCCTCACTTTGGTGGGAAAACTGAACGGAATCAGACCTCACTGAGGAATGTTGAAGGATGCAGCTAATCATATGTGCTAGATAAACTGTCAGGGGAAACCGGAGGAGGACCTGATAAGGCACTGGGGAGAACAAAACGTCAAAGTAAGCCTGATCATTATGGAAAAGAGTAGGTCAGGGTAACTACCGTCAAGGCCACTACTAATGCAAATTGAATATCTGCTGCTTACCGAACGTTGGATGATGTAACACAACTGTAGCTTTAATTCCATATAAATAGAGCATTCAGGGCATTCGCTCTTCTCAACAGTACCATCAGCTCATTCTATACCTAGGGATCCGTGGGCTCCTTTGGGCCTCAACTTTTTTTTTTCTTCTCCTCCAACACGTCCTGGCCAGTTCATTGCCCTGCAGATGGCCTTTTCACTAATTGCCTGTTTCCTGTTAAGGACCTGTGAGATTTTTCAGGTAAATGACGGAGGGGTCCCATGGAAAGAAAACAGAACCAAACATATCTTGCCCCACTTTCCCAGCCTCAGGTGTTCTCTCAGTCCCATCATCTGTGAGTTGGGAATAATATTTCTGGTTTTTCGGGTGCCTACCATCCCTTGCTGGATACTGGGGAGTCCTCACTCATGCAAGAATTTTTGGACATTGGGACAAAAGACATGTAGGCACTCACATGTGTTGTGGTAGGGTGAAAAAACAGCTCCTTGAGACATCGGGTCCTCCATAATCCCTGGAACCTGTGTTGCCTTATTGGAAGAAAACGTCTTTAGAGATGTGAGGAAGTGAAGAATCTTGAGATGAGGACATTATCCTGGATTATCTGGGTGGGCTCTCATTGCTGTCACATGTATCCTTATAAGAGGGACACAGAGAGAAGGTGATATGAAGATGGACCAGAGAGAGATTCGAAGGTGCTATTTTTGAGGATTGGAGAGATGTGGCCACCAGCCAAGGAATGCCAGCAACTGCTAGAGACGGAAAGGGGCTAAGAACAGATTGCTCTCTGGAGGCTCCAGAGGCAGTGTGGTCCTGCTGACACCTTAATTTCAGACCATTTCAGACAAGTGAAACTGACTCTGGACTCCAGACTCCAGAACTGTGAGGACAGACATTTCTGTTGTTTACATCACTGAATTTCTGGTACTTTCTTAGAGCAGCTGCAGGAAACGAGTACAGTTGATTACTCACATGATAACCTGCACAAGGATTCCCCAAGGAGAAGGGCTCAGGTTCCCTTTTGTGGGGAACAACAACATTGGGTGCTTGTTGTCATGAGGGGTGGAGATGGAGTGGGGGTTCATGCATGGACGCGGGGCCGTTCATGGTTGGAAATTCCCGGTGATGCCCAAGGACAGAGCACCTGACTGGTGCAGATATGGGGCAGAAAGGAAAAAAGGAGGGGTGGGGCTTGAAAGCTCTCAGCTGCCCAAAATCAAAAAGTGGTTAGAGGCTTCATTTCCAATGACCATAAGGTTGTTGTGTGTCAAGTTAAAAGAGTAAAGCCTTTAGAACAGGGCTCGGGGAACAGTGCTCAGCACAAATGAGTTGCTAATAAATATTACCCATTATTACTTTTTACCATTTTGAATTCACTTCCCTTTTCAGTTTCCCAAGCCAGTATTGGAGTCCTCATGAGTCTGGTTCTGAAACTCCCCATTCCCACTACACTTCCTCTCCAGGGTGATTGCATCAATCCCTATGTCTTTCAGTGATACTCAAATTGACCTCTGCCAAGGACCTGTCCCCAAGCTCCAGCCTGCAAGATCCGATTCCCTACTCACCATCTCTCCACGGAGCCCTGACAGGCATCTCAGGCTCCATGGGTCTCCTAAACCCTCGGGGTCTTTCCCTGCAAACCCCCTGCTCTCCAGGCTCCCCACCTGATGCAGTCACACTGCCACCCTTCCTGTTGTTCCAGCCAGGAACCTGGAAGTTACCCATGGAGCCCTGCAACCACTCCAACCATCCCCAAGCTCAGCTGATTCCATCTCCTCTCCATCCCCACCAGCTACTCCATTTCAGCCCCTTAAAGTGCACCGGGCCTGGAAACTCCATCTGAAGTCCCCAAGGAGACCTGCACACCAGCTCACATCTCGGTGTAAGTGGTCCTGGCTATATTTTAGAATCACTTGGCTTTGTTTTTTAAATTATTAGGCCCTGCCCCAGACAGAGATGGTCAGAATCTCTAGGGTGGGGCTCAGACATCAGAAACTTTTAATCTTAGGTGATTCCAAATGCAGCCAAGGTGGAGGACCACTGTGTTGGACTTGAGGTGAGAAGCTGGACCCTGATGCCAGAGCAAATAAACAGAGGAGATGATGGACTTTAGCGCTGGGTTAGTACCACACGCTTTCCCAGCAGCCTGCAGTTCTGGCTGTGGTGGCCCAACAGTAAACAAACACCCTTTTTCTTTTCTTTCTTTCTTTCTTTTTTTTTTTTTTAATGTCGATAGTGTTTTATTTTTAAAAATTTTTTAAAATTGTGGTTAAAAAACACAAAACATCAAATTGGCCATCAATCATTTTTAAGTGTATAGTTCAGTTGTATTAACAATATCATATTGTTGTATAACAGATTCCTAGAATGTTTTCATCTTGCACAACTGAAATCCTATCCCTATCGAATAGCAATTCCCCCTTCTACCCTCCCCACATCCCCTGGCAACCACCATTCTACTTTCTGTCTCTACGATTTCAACAACTCTAAGTACCTCCCAGAAGTGGAATCCCACAGTATTTATCTTTTTGTGCCTGGCTTATTTCACTTAGCGTAATGTCCTCAGGGTTCCATGTTGTAGAATGGTTCAGAATTTCCTTCCTTTGTAAGGCTGAGTAATATTCCATTGTAGGTATACTGACTGCCAACCAGTTGTCCAAAGTAGTTCTAACAGTTTACACTTCCTCCAGCAGAATGTGAGAGTTACAGTTGCCATGGAGATATTCTCAAGGGGGTTAAGGTCAGTGAGTTCTCTATGGTAAGTATAAAATGTTCTGTTTAGATTTAAAGAGTAAGTATATTCTGGATGATCTTGGGGACCTGACATAAGTGAATTGTGTTACCTTGTCTGCTTCAGCATTGGTTTTGGTGATGGTGATGAATGGAAATGGCAGTGTTTCTCAGTCTTGAGACCATGGGACATATTCTCAAGAGTCCACAAATATATTCTTGGGGTCTTCATATTTTCATGTTTGAAAATCACCATTTATTTTATTTAATCCTTACAATCATCTTATAAGGTAGGTACTATTACTAACCCTGTTTTACAGATGAGGAAACAGAATCAGAAAGGGGAAATGATTCACCTAAGGTCACATAGCTCGTGAGTGGTACAGTCAAGACTCAGAACCAGGTCTGATTGCAAAGCATTTTTTGATTATAAAGCACTAACTAGTAAACTACCTTCATGAGGGCAGTTCTTATTCATCCTTTTTCAAATAGCTTTATTGAGATATAATTCATATACCATACAATTCACCTATTTATAGTGTGCAATCATTGCCTTAATATATTCACAGGGTCCTGCAACCTTCACCTCAATCAATTGTAGAATATTTTCATGATGACCAAAAGAAACTCTACATCCCATAGTCATCACCTTCCAATCTGTCTGACTAGCCTTAAGCTGCCACTAATATCTTTTGTGCTTATAGATTTGCGTATTGTGGATATTTCATATAAATGGAATCATATAATATATAGTCCTTTGCAACTGGTTTCTTTCATTTAGCATGTTTTCAAGGTTTATACATGTTATAGCATGTATTAGAATTCCATTTATTTTATGGCCAAATAATATTGCACTATATGGATATACCTCATTTATTTATCCATTCACCAGTTGATGGACATTTGAGTTGTTTCCACCTTTTGACTATTGTGAACAATGCTGCTATGAACATTTGTGTACAAGTTTTTGTGTGGACGTAGTTTTCATTTCTCATGGATATATGCCTAGGAGCAGAATTCCAGGGTCAGCTGGTAACTCTATGTTTAGCTTTTTGGGGACTGCCAGACTTTTTCCAACCACTGCACCATTTTACATTTCCACAGGCAGGGTATGAGGGTTCTAATTTTCTACAACCTCACCAATACATGTTATTATCTTACTTTTTAATTATTTCTATCTTAGTGGGTGTGAAGTGATATCTCATTTTGGTTTTGATTTGCATTTCTCTGATGGCTAATAAGGTTGAATATCTTTTTATATGCTTATTGACCCTTTGTATATCTTCTTTGGACGAGTGCCTTTCAGGTCTTTTGACCACTTTAAATTGGGTTGTCTTTTTATTGTTGAGTTGAAAGAGTTCTTTTATATATTCTGGATAAATTTCCCTTATGGGTTTATGACGTACAAAATTTTTCTCCTGTTCTATGCATCCACTTCTGTCTCTTCACTTTCTTTTTTTTTGAGAGAGAGAGAGAGAGAGAAAACACATAAGGGAGAGGGGCAGAGGGAGAGGGAGAGAGAGAGAACCTCAAGCAGACTCCAGTGGACATCCAGTTGTCAAAGCACCATTTGTTGAAATAACCATTATTTCCCATTGAATGTTCTTGGCACTTTTCTCAAAAACAAATGTGTCTTTAGCTATATGGGCTTATTTCTGGATTCTCACTTCTATTGCATTGATCTGTGGGTCTACCCTTATGCCAGTACCACACTGTTTTGACTGTTGATAAAGGCAGTAATTTCATACTATAGAATAGAAAACTGAGGAGATCTACAAAGACACTGGGAAAAAAAGATGGGTGGAATGGGACAGTTTCCTGGTAGTAGCCAAGAAGTGAATGGCCTTCAAGGTGCATAAGAGAAAACTGTTGAAAAGAAGTGGGGTGATGAGCATCTCCATAGAAAAATACAGTCACATTATCTTGGAAGCATTTTAGGTAAGACATCCAAAATATTAGGCAATGCTGAAAGATGGGAGAGAAGAGAATGAAACAAGGAATGAGATTGGCTATAGGGCAGAACTTGGAGGAAACACCTTCTGCCTGCCAAGTGTGCAGATGATGAGAAAGGTTGGCGGGTCAGTTCAGAAAAGCTCTTGAAGGGGTTGTTGAGAAAATGCCCACTCTCTCCAATCAGAGCATCTTGGTTTACCCAGCGCCCCCACCCCCCAGGGAGGAGCCAAGAGTGGTGCTTTGTGATGTCTAAGCTACCACCCACCTGCCCATATCCCCTAGCTGAACAAACAAAGCCAAAGGGTGTGGCTCCTCATTGTACTGGTAAGGGGTATTTTACAGTCTGGTCAGGAGCTCTGGAGAAGACCACTGGGAGACTTCAACATAGCTAAAGTTACCAGGAAGCCAGAGAAAGCTAGCACAGTTATGGAACAACCAACCCTAAGCACAAAACAATTAACTCGAAGCACAAAAAGAAAGAAGAGGAGGAGCCAGTGTCGACCCAGATCCATAGGTAGTGGCAAGGTAAGACCACCTCACTCAGGTGCCTCCTCTTCTTTCCCATTGATTTCCTCCCCCAAGATTCCCACCCTTTCCTTATCTGGCATAAAACCCCTCATTAGCCTTTGCCCCTCCTCATGAATCCTTCCTTTCCATTCAGTCCCCCATCTTCTTCCAACCTATTGCCCTTCTGGAATCACCCTGTTTGCCCTTCCAGGTGAAGAAGATGCAGAGGGGAATAAAAAGACTGCTTCATACAAGTTCAAGAAAAAAATCCTCTCGTTCTAGTACAAAAAGTCCAAGAAAGGTGAAGAGAGTGAAAAGGGCCAAGAAATTTCGGCCTTTAGCAAATATTGAATAGTAGCCTAAGTCCAAGGCACTAAGGCCAGGGCTGAAAGACCCTACAGTGGCATATCACCATCCTACAAGGTATGACACCATCCTGGAACAGAGATGGTGGTGATTAAAATGAAATCAACAACTTTTGAGAAGCCCCTTATTCCAGGAGATGTGTGTGCATGTGTGTGTGTGTGTGTGCACGCGCGCATGCACGCAGGTTCTCTGATCATGAAGAACAAGGGAAAGAAGGGAAGAGACAGGTTGTGAGAAGGGAGAAGGAGAGGTTCTGGACAGTTGGGGGCTACAGTGACAGGTCCACAGTTAGCCAGACATTATTGATAAAGAGTGGTTGAGGACTGAACATTGAAGACAAACTTCCATTCTTAACATTTAACCCATAGGCAAGAAGGAAAAAGTGCTTGGTGTGTGTGTGTGTGCACATGTGTGTATGTGTGTGCATGTGACAGAGAGAGAGACAACATCAGTGTTTAGATTGCCAGAACCTGAATGGGGAGAGGTGTGATGGGTGGTGGGTAAAAGGGTCACCCCCTAATAAAAGGTAGACAAAGAAACTACCTTTAGGCCACCTACTTCATAGCAGTGTTTGATTTCCCCCACAGTATGCAGGAAACAATAAATGCCCTCAGAAGAACCCTAAATGCATTCTAATGAAAGTTATTGACAGCACTCCCAAGGACTAAAATGGTGTTTAGATGCCACAAACCCAATACAAATGAGGTCCCTTTCTTGCTAAGAAAATTTGGGATGGAGCAGTGTCCTATTAGGTTAAGGAAACCTTTGTCCAATCATTAGCTGACCCTTAAGCTAAAAGAAGAGATACTTTAGTGGCTACACACAACAAAGAATAAAAACTTTATGGAATTCGTTCAGCAAAGTCACCAAACCGCCAAACAACAACATATTCCAATAAGTGGATATCCACATTCAATGAAGGAAATTCAACCCCTCCCTCATACCATATATAAAAAATAAATCAAAGACCTAAATATAAGAGCTGAAACTATTTAACTCTTAGAAGAAAACATAGGGGTAGATTTTCATGACCTTGGACTAGGCAATGGTTTCTTTTATATGACACCAAAAGCACAAGCAACCAAAGAAAAAAATAGATAAATTAGATGTCATCATGATTGAAATCTCTGGTTAATTGTAATTAAAATCTTTGGAGAAAATATTTGCAAGTCATATGTCTGATAAGGATCTAGTATTCAGAATATATAAATGACTCTTTAAACTCAATAAAAAAAAAGATACGTCAATTAAGAAATGGCTAAAGAGGGACGCCTGGGTGGCTCAGTCGGTTAAGCATCTGCCTTCAGCTCAGGTCATGATCCCAGGATCCTGGGATCGAGCCCCGCCTTGGGCTCCCTGCTTGGCGGAGAGCCTACTTCTCCCTCTCCCTCTCCTGCTCCCCCTGTTTGTTCTCTCTCTCTGTCAAATAAATAAATAAAATCTTAAAAAAAAGAAATGGGTAAAGGATTTGAATAGCTATTTCTCCAAAAACATACAATAAAGACAGTGAACTCATGAAAAGATGTTCAAGATCACTAGGCATCAGGGAAATGAAAATCAAAACCGCAGTTAGGTACCATTTCTAGACATTTCTAAACACAATTAGACACCCACTAGGATGGCTGTAACTTTTTTTTAAAATGGAAAATAACAACTGCTGGTGAGGATATAGAGAAATTGGAACCCTCAAGCATTGCTCTTTGTAATGTAAGTTGGTGCAGCCAAAGTGAAAACTAGTTTGGCCTTTCCTCAAAATGTTACATATAGAGTGGCTATATGACCCAGCAAATCCAGTCCTATGTATCTGAGAGAATGGAAAACATATGGCCACGCAAAGACTTGTACACAAGTGTTCATAGCAGCACTAGTCATAATAGTCAAAAAGTAAAAACAACCCAAACATCCATCAATTGAAGAACAAGTAAACAAATTGTGATCTGTCCATACAATGGAATATTATTCAGCCATTAAAAGCAGTGATGTACTCATACATGTGACAACATGGATGACCCTTGAAGACACGATGCTAAGCGAAAGAAGCCAGACAAAAAGACCACATACTATATGAATTCATTCATATTATATGTCCAGAAAAAGGAATCCTTCACAGGCAGAAAGTAGATTAGTGTTGCTTAGAACTGGAGTGGGAGAGGGATGAAAGAGGGTGGAGGGGATGACAGCTAAAGTGTACAGGGTTTCTTTTTGAGGTGGTGAAAATCAAAACCAACTGGGGTGATGGTCGCCTGGATCTGAATATGTTAAAAACCATTGAATTGTCCACTTTAAATAGGTGAATTTTATGGTCTGTGAATTACATCTCAAGAAAGCTGTTAAAAAATCAACAGGAACCCTCAGTTTGTTTCCTATATGGTTGCTGGAGGGGAGGTGGGTGGGGGGATGGGGTAACTGGGTGATGAGCATTAAGGAGGGCATGTGATGTAATGAGCACTGGGTGTTATATGCAACTGATGGATCACTAAACTCTACCTCTGAAACTAATAGTACACTATGTTAATTGAATTTAAATATAAAATAAAATAAAAAATCAATAGGAAAAAATCTTTGGCAAGAGTATACTCTACTGATTTAGAGTCTTGTGCCAAGGTTCTGGTACGTCTAGACTGACAGTCCCACTGGACTGTTTCCAATGGGGAAAGAAGGCATTTCCAACAAGGAAATTGGGGTGCTATTACCAAAAGATGGAGGGATGGATGCTTAAACCCCTCCCAAGAATTATAATTTTACTTGCAGTAAAATCCTAACATATTACCATGGACTGCCAGGCCCTAGATGACCCGTTACCGCCTGCCTCTCCAATGTCACTCTTTCTTTTCCTCCTTCTCCTCCTTGCTGTTCCTCAGACAACCTAAGCTTGTTCCTGCTTCAGTACATTTTTATCAGTTGTTTCCTCTGCCTGCAATGCTTTTCCTCCAGGTCTTTGCAGGGCTTCCTCCTTCTCATCATTTAGTTCTCAGCTCAAAGGTTATCTCAGGAGATGCTTTCTCTGCCTACCCTCCCTCCAGTTGCTACTTTGTCTTCATAGTCATTTGTCATTATTTGATAACATTTCTATTATGCTTCTGTGTTTACTTCTGTCTACCCTTCTCCCTTGATAGAATGTAAATCTCATGAGATCAGCGACCATGTTTGTTCCATCCGTCATGATAGTCCCAACATCCAGCATGGGGTTTAGCACATGGTACAATCTCAGGAAGTGTCTGTTAAATGCACAAGTAATTTAAAAACCCCAAATTTACTGAAATGAACTTTCTATACCATACGCTATCACCTTTTTTGGACATGGGCAATGGAAGGGAAGATGGGTGGTGAACAGAACCCTAGGGAGAGGAAAAATTAGGACTTTAAGAGCTTGATCATAATTGTTGTATGGAGTGATAGTACCAGAATTTCCCGAAATCCATAAAGAATAGAAATCAGTGCTCTGAATGGGACCTAGACAGCCATTCTCTGGGATGCTATAGCCCACCACCGTCTCTCCCTCTTTATTTTCACGCTGTCAGGTATCATCCTCTGTCTCTGTCTCATTAAGATCCTGGCAGCTATATGTTTCTTTGTTCCTGAAAGCACCCATCCACATCACTGTGCATGGGTCAACTCTAATTCCTCTCCCTCTTCAAAATCTTTCCAGTTTGTGTTGCCGGGTGTCAGCATGCCCCCAAACTTGTTTGCCATCCCTCTCTTGGAGGCATCTGTCTTCTGTAAGCTTCTACTGCAACAGAGTCCGAGTGTCTAGGGCAGTCTTTGAAATGGTTACTTGTGCATGGCTCAGAGGCTCCAGCCAAGCTGAGAAAGGCAATACAAGAAGGTGTGTGACAGATGACAGATTGCTGCTGCTGAGTTGGTCCTGAGTCCCTGGCCAGCCCTTGGTGCTGAGTGAATGAGTATCATATGTCCCACCTGCACCAAGGGAATTGCAACACAGAAGCACACAAATTCATGGCCAGTCCAGAGCTGAATGTCTCCCTGCATTGCACTGCTTTGCTATCAGCAGCTTGCTCATGCATGAATAAACAGAGTTGCTGGCTCTGCTCAAACCAGGCAGCTCATTGTGAAGGTGGGAATGGTGTCTATTCTGGGAGGAACTTCAGGCCATCCACACAACTAGAGGAATGACTACTTAGCAATGGTCTTGGTGTTTATAACCATTTAAAGACACATTGCCTTTTTTTCATTCATTGTTTTATTACATTTACAACTTTTATCCACATACTGTTTTATTACATAATTGTGGCCTTGCTATGAATATATATTTTTGTTCTGCTTTTTTAATATTGTTACATAGACATTTTCTATTACATAGAATTTGTAAACCTATCGTCAAGGTTGTATAATATTCCATCTAGTATAGTGGTTTTCAACCAGGGGCAGTATTGTCCCCCAGGGGATATTTGACAATGTTCGGAGACATTTTTTTAATGGAGGTATAATTGACATATAACATTATATTACTTTCAGGCGTACAACATAATGATCAATATTTGTATATATTGCGAAATGACCTCCACAGTAAGTCTAGTTACCATCCATCACCACAAAAAATTACCAAAAAATTATTTTCTTTTTTTTTGTTGTGATGAAGACTTTTAAGTTTTACTCACTTAGCAACTTTCAAATATGCAATACAGTTTTATTAACTATAGTCACCATACCGTACATTATATCCCCAGGACTTATTTATTTTATAACTGGAAGTTTGTATGTTTTGAAATGGGTGAAGGGAGTCAAAAGGTACAAACTTACAGTTCTAAAATAAAGGGGTATTGCTTTTGGATGCAACCAGTGAGGAGAGTCTGGAGCCAGGAGGTCCTTACCCCAAAATAGGCTTCCCCCGTCCCAGCCACTGGGCCTTGGAGACCCATAGACAGCCCTGTTAAACCTTAGGTGTACAGATGAGATTGTGGGAATGTAGGTTGAAATCTGATCTGGGAAAGAAGACAGGAAAGTGGAGGTAAACAGTAGCCCAGGTTT